GTAAAACAGCTTTGCATTAAAGAGAGAAATTGATATTTATTTTCATTATTAACACCATGGTACTCACTCCAGGTTATTTTGAAGATAGTAGAGAACACCCAGTTCATTGAGGGTCCGAGCATTATCAGGTGTGTCCTTACCTAATGTAAGCTCTTCTAATTGTAGGGCCCGTCTACGTAAAAGGGCAAATCCATACTGCAGCAAAGAAAAACAATCACTAAGTAGGTACAATCTTTGATTCTGAAACAATATACTAGGGTCCTAAAAAATCCTTTTTGCTTTTTTCCCCATAATCTAGACAATTATTTTAAGTATCACACTGAATTTAACAGCTATTAAGAATACACATTTCCACATGGCAACACATTTTAAAATTCATAAAAACTATTTTGTGAAAGTGATTATGAGATAGTTTAGAAAGTAAACCATACCTCAAAGTGCTTCAAAGAGATTAGATAACAATTAACTTGTAGATATTTATCAACCCATTGCTAAAAACTTAATCAGGTACTTAAAAATGCACTTTGTTTTAAATTAAAACAAAGAAATATGCTCCATTTAAATTTTACCAGCAACTTAGAAAGATGAAAATTTTTTTGTGTGTTCAAGGGGAAGAATTTCTTCACGTTTGAATCTAACGTAAAATGTTAACTAAATTTCTTTTATTCCCTTTTCCAAACCTTTAAAGAATCAAAGTAGATTTAAATGCCATCTTCCAATGTCCAAGCTTTAGATGAACATTATAAAAGTCCACTTTTTAAAAGTCTACTGAGTTGTACTTCTCAGTAATGTTAATATTTAAACACATATTATAAATGAAGAAAATGTTAGTACTTTTCTGGAAGTCACTTTAAAAATCTAAAGCTGTTAAAAATGTGAGGTTTATGTACTTAAGATATTCAGAGATGCTCTTTTCCTCTTATGTTCAAAACACAACATAAAACAAATCTCTCATTACCAAGTTGCCTTTTCTTCTTGTAGCTTTCTGACGAATTTTTAAGGATTTTTTCCTAAAATGTTCAGCTTGTTCATATCTTAAAATAAAAAGTACAGCAAGTCAAATAATAGAAACATATTCAAAGTATACTTCATTGAAATGAAAGCACATAGTGTAAAACCTTTTTTTTTTTTTGGCTATTAAATACAGCATTATTCTTGAAGTGATGGTCATATGGAATTAAAAATCTCTAACAAAAATCCTCAAGAAACAAAATCCGACAAAACAAAATTAGTCCTCTAAGTAGCTGACATTTAACTGTTTTTAACAAATTTATCTTGTATCTAAAGGACAACCTAACTAAATGAAAATCCAAAATTTTAGTTGCTACAGCACTTTTTTCTACACAGGCTAATTTCTGGTTAAATATAAATGTGAAATTCATACAAAATTTATGTGAAACAAACTTCTAGAAGTTAAAAGAAAAAGTTCCAATATGTATCACTTATGAAGTAAAAGAAACAATTTCTGATAGAGGAAGAGATGTCATTCAGTGGGTACCTAATAGATAAGAAAGACTTATTATAGTAGGGATCAACAAACTTTTTCTGTGAAGGGCTAAATAGTTAATATTTTAGGCTCTGTGGGCCATGTGGTTTCTACCCAAGTGAGGAATTCTGCCATTAAAACATGGAAGCAATCACAGATAATATATAAATGAAAAAACTGTGGCTGTATTCTAATAAAACCTTATTTACAAAACTGGACTTGGCCTGTGGGCAATGGTTTACTAGCCCTGTACAGGTTGAGCATCCCTAATCTGAAAACTGAAATTCTGAAATCCTCCAAAATCTGAAATGCTCCCAAAATCTGAAACTTTTTGAGCACTGACACAATGCCATAGTAGAAAATTTCACATCTGATCTCATGTGACAGGCTGCAGTCAGAATCCATTCAAAACAATGTTTGATACACAAAATTATTAACAATATTGTATTAAATTACCTTCAGGCTATGTGTATGAAGTATATATGAAACATAAATAAATTTCGTCTTGAGCTTGGGTCTCATCCTCAAAATAGCTAATTATGTACATACAAATATTCCTAAATCTGAAAAAATACAAATTCTGGTCCCAAGCATTTTGGATAAGGGATACTCAACCTATAATAGTAATGTACTCAAGTACTCAAATATTACAAAGTTAGTGAATGAGCAGAATTCAAACCCAAGACTATCTGATTCCAAAGTCTGTGCTCTATCCTTCACTCATCTGTAAGTAGAGATGAATCTTGTAGTTCTAAGTCTCCCTGTTACCCTGTTAAGATCCAGATCAAGACATATTATGTGAACATGAAGGAAAACATAGCCACAAAGCAAAGCCTACCTCATAAGTACATTAAAAAACTGCAACTTCTCTTTATAAAATCAGAGTATCACTGATCTAAATCTTACTTATTTTGTTTCTGGTACAAAGTTGCAAGAGCCTCAAGTTCACGAGCAGTATGTGGATGGTCTGCACCATAAGCATTTTCTGAGATTTCCAATGCCTGTTTATACAGTTGTTCGGCATTGCCAAACTTCTTCCACTGCACATACACACTTGCTAGCTGGTGGAGGGACTGGGCTACTCTTGGGTGATCTGGATCTAAAGCTGTTTCTCGAATTTCTAGAGACCTCTGCAGAGGCACCACAGCCTGTGGAAAAAAGGGTGAAAGGTCAATTAAAGAGAGTAAAATGCTGTTAAGATCTCTCATCTGATTAAACATTAAAGATCTCAGCACAACAAATGAAAACCACATTAACTCCTTAAAAGAGGAGAAGAGTAAACATGAAAAGCCCACCCTGTCTTTGACTTTCCACTGAGGTTCTGAGCTTACCTGACTGAGAAGGCCTAGATCCTTGAGAAACCGCCCCAGGGTTTCATAAAGATCCGCTAAGCAAATCATGTTCTCTTCACCTTCGCAGTCTTTCTCATACTGCTTCAAGGAATCAAAGTATTCTGTTGCCATCGCGCTTTTGTCTTTGCCTACAAACTGCCAATAACTCAGCAACTCAGCAAAGTGTCCTCTGTTTCAACAAATAATAGTAATTCAATGAAAAACAAATTTTAAAATCCACTATAGGATGAAAATGTCAGAATTCATATCAAGTTATTGACAATTTATTAGTAGGCAAGCATAGTGTGGTGAGGTAGGACTCAGACTGTCATATGAGTTCCACTACTTCCTAGCTGTGTGTGATCTTGAGTAGGCTGTCTGATGTCTTAGATTTCATCATCTTTATCTACAGAAATCGGACAATGACACTACCTGCCCCAAGGAGATTATGGCACACAGTAACTACTTCATAGTGTTGGCTGTTATTGTTAACATCATCATGGCCAATCACCAATGGAAATTTATCTGAATCTTTTTATATGTTTCATGGTATATAGTCAACTGCTGAGTTCACCCCCAAAATTATTTTAAACGATGGAAATTTGAAAGAGAAGAAACTAATGAAACACAGCCAAACTGTCATAGAGTATCCACTTTGCATTTTCATCAAGTAATTGATTGATAAAAAGTGAGCTTATTCATTTGTTCTATAGGCCTGTGGTCCCCAATCTCTGGGCTGTGGACCAGTGCCAGTCTATAGCCTGTTAGGGACTGGACCATAGAGCGTCCCCTTCTTCCTTTCTCCTCCCCTTCCTCCTCCCCAACTATGGAAAAATTGTCTTCCATGAAACTTAGGAACCTAGGACCCTGGGCAGGGTGGGGCCCACACAACAGCAATTGAGTGGCCAGCAAGCCAGTGAAGCTTCATCTGTAATTATAGCCGCTCTCCATTGCTCACATCACTGCCTGAGCCCCACCCGCCTCCCCCACACCCTCCCAACTGGTCCCTGGGACCAAAAATGTTGGGCACTGCTGCTGTAGACACTTTTAAGTAGGATGGGAAAACTGATACCAGTGGTCCCCAAACTTTTTGACACCAGGGATGGGTTTCGTGGAAGACAATTTTTCCACGGATGGGGTTAGGAGGGGGAGGTGGAGCTCAGGTGGTACTGTGAGTGATGGAGAGCGGCTGTAAATGCACGAAGCTTCCCTCACTTGCTTGTTCGCCCACTGCTCACATCCTGCTGTGTTCCATGAATCTTAGGAAGACAATTTTCCATGGGGTGGGGATAGGGAGGAGAGCTCAGGCAGTGATGTGCAGCTAGGTTCCTAACAGGCTGTGGCCCAGTACAACTAAAGAACAAATCTGATTTCAAAGGAATCATGAAAAATTGGAATGGAGATCAGAAATAATTTAAGAGGTGAAACAAAGAAATTTGAGAGAGTTCACTCAGGAGAAAGCAAATTATGCAGCTATTTTTTGAAAAGTGCCTAAACTTCTAAGTAGGGCAGAAAAACCCCCGTATGAACCTTATTTATGTCAGAAACTTGGCTTGCTGACTGACTCAGTAGGTCAGAAGTTCTGCTGCTGATAAACTCAAACATACCAGAAGAGATAAACACAGTACATTTGTTAATCAGGGTAATTCTTTCTTTAAATTCAACACTAGACAGATTCCATTTGGAGCCCAGAGTCTGGTTTTAAGGCTACACTTTGAGATATCTAAAGGTCCTAAGAAGCAGCTATTATGAACTACCTTTCAGGGTAGTTTAGATTTAAACCTGCTTAAATGTAAAAATACAATATAACCTTGTCCCAAAATCATTCCAGCTCTGATTTTATGAAGCAGCAATATTCTGTCTTCCTCTTGGAAAAAGTAGATCTCATAGCAATTTGCAGATTGTTTCAAAACTCCTCCCACACTGTTTGTATTTTGGGTACCACTGAAACTGGACTCATTTTAAAATTAAAAATGCTATTTTTTCTTTGTTAAACTTACCAACTGTTTAAATCTGTCTTTCTAGGGAAAGATATCTTATAATAAGTTTCTTACCTTTTATAAAGGTTTTGAGACACAAAGAGATTGAGAAGGCAATCATGCAACTTCTGTTTACTTCCCTGCTGCTGGAAAAGCCAAGGGAGCTCATCTGCACTTCTCCAAGTCACTCGGTCCTGACTATGAGAAAGGGAAAACAACACTCACTAATATCTTCCTACAATGAGATTGCTTCGAAAGGCTTTGGACAAATGTTGAAGGAAGAAAAATATAATTAATGTATATCTCTGACTCTTTAAACATAATCTAATACTGAGAAAGTTTGGTCAAATCAGAAACTTTACCAATCTATGAAAATAAATTCAGTGATATTCAGAACCATCAACCAAACTCAAAAGGTATTTTCCTAAAATTGAACTATTAAAAATAATCCTCAATGGCCCCAACTACACACACACAGATACCTTACATGCACACATATTTTAAACTGTTTAACTGGAGTAAAATAATAAAATGATCCTGCATTGATTTTTCTTAAGTGTAAACCCTTAGCATAATATGAAAAGACTTAGAAGATCTTTTAAACTTTTGACGTTAACAGAATAAGGAAGGGATTTAATCTTTTTTGTAAATATTAAATTTTTATACTTTAAGCTAAGAAAGAGAAGGACAAAAAGTTAGAATGTGTTACAGGAGTTACAGAAGAACAATATGGACATTTATAATACCTTAGCTGCAAGGTGAAATAGTTGATTAGCTTTTGCTTGTATGAAGAAATTATGGTGGGACATTCCATGTACTCCAATCTCACTGCTTCCCAAGCCTAGGGAGAAAAAGAAAAAATACTGCATTCTATTTTATGTAAGCCACTGTATCTAACAAAAATTTGTAAAAAAAGAGCTTATAATTATTTCCATTTTATAGTTGTATAACAGAAATGTCATTAGAACATTTTTAAATTCAGGATATATTTATGTGATAAGCTGATGTTAGAATAAAAATTCTTGTACTATTAAGAACTTAAAACCCAATTTAATTCAAACTTTTAGTTAATACATTAAAAATCCCAGAAATTTGCAGTCAAAAGTTACTAAAAAGAATTATATTCAAGTGATACACATCTACAAATACAGCATGCTCAAAGGAAAGACTTCATTTGCATTTGTATACATATATAAAAAATCAACCATGGCATTGCAGATGATAAGAATTATATTAGCAATAGTTCCTAAAGATTTACTATTGTGTGCTGAACATCATGTCTAGTACCTCACAAGGACCAAGGACTACTTCAATTAACTATCTTCACAACCCCTCTGGCAAACTGGAAAAGTCTGCACAGGGCTCAGAACTTGCCCAAAGTTAGACAGCTATTAATTAAGCTGAGTTAAGAAAGGAGGCTGACTGCTTTCAGAGTCTAAGCTCATAATACATATACAGTCAAGTGCTGCATACTGATGTATTGGTTAACAACAGACTGCATATATGATGGTGGTCCCAGAAGATTATAATGGAGCTGTCCTGTACAGGCCTATCATTTTTTAAATCTTTATGCCATATTTTTAATATATAGTTTCTATGTTTAGATACACAAATACTTAACACTGTGTTAAAACTGCCTACAATATTCAGTACAGTAACAAGCTGTACAGATTTGTAGCCTAAGAGAAACAGGCCATGCCATATAGCCTAGCTGTGTAGTATGCTATACCATCTAGGTTTGAGTAAGTATACTCTGATGTTTGTACAATGATGAAATCACCTAACAATGCATTTCTCAGAATATATCCCTGTTGTTAAGTGACACATGACTGTATAATAATACCAACAATTCTGAAAAATAATTTTTTTCACTTCCAGAAAGAAACTAAGTTAAAAAAGTTTCTTTTGGTGGTTTGTGACTGGTACTTTTTTTAATTTTTAAAATTTTATTGTGGTAAGAACACAACATGAGATCTACCCATTTAATAATTTGGCAGAAACTACCTTTTAAAATAATATTCACCTCATAAAGGTACTACATAAGCATAATATGAACTAAATTTTACATCTAACCTAAAATCATCACGAAAAGATTGTAGTATAAAATTTCAGATATCAATTTGTCTTGTAACTGAAACATTTAAAATAATATAACATGGAATAATATGTTGACATTTGTGAGTAAAAAATCTTCTTAAAAGATGTTTAAAATAACATTTACCTGTAGATGTTGAAACCTGAGCAAGCCACAACCATAAGTCAACAAACACATTTTGTGTAAACTGTGAATAAGAGAGGTCAAGTCAGCCCAGGACATCTCAGGATAGAGTTCCATCAATTCTGATTCACTCACGCCATTGTGACTAACATTGATGAGGCAGAGAATCTAGGTAGGAAAACCAATGAACAACGATCATAAGGTAGCTCTACCAGTAGCTAACAGCCATGAAAATTTCCACAGTTCTTTTAAGTGTATTGACTTTTTACCTGAACTTATAATCAAATGATTTAATAAACCAAGAAACAAATTTCTTAAGATAAAACACACTATCCAAAAGGCATTAATCAAGAATAAGATAGTATATATATAAAATTTAATCTCTCAATTCAATGTAATTCCAATCATTATTCCAAAATGAGGTTCCATGGCACTTTAGAAGCCAAATTCTAAAAATACAGATGGAAAATTAGCCAAGACAATTGTGAAGAATAATAATAAAAGGGGATTTGCCCAAGCAAATATCAAAGCTTAAAGTTCTAACAACTAAGATAGCGTATTGACAAAGAATAGGCAAAATTGGAATAGAATAGCCTAGATAAAGACTGATATTTATATGTCAGCTTCATATTTGTCAGGTGGCATTGCAATTCAGCAGAAAAGATGTACTATTTAGTAAAAAGAACAATTAATTAGCCACATGACAAAAGATTTAAAAGTGGATCACTTCTTTTTTTTTTTTTTTTTTTGAGACAGAGTCTTGCTTGTTGACCAGGCTAGAGTGAGTGCCGTGGCATCAGCCTAGCTCACAGCAACCTCAAACTCCTGGGCTCAAGCAATCCTTCTGCCTCAGCCTCCCAAGTGGCTGGGACTACAGGCATGCGCCACCATGCCCGGCTAATTTTCTATATATATTAGTTGGCCAATTAATTTCTTTCTATTTATAGTAGAGACGGGGTCTTGCTCTTGCTCAGGCTGGTTTCGAACTCCTGACCTCGAGCAATCCGCCCGCCTCAGCCTCCCAGAGTGCTAGGATTACAGGCGTGAGCCACCGCGCCCGGCTTGGATCACTTCTTTATATAATAAAAATAAATCAACATGAGTTAAGAACTTATACATGTAGGGAAAAACTGTAAAACTCTTTGAAGGAGAAAGAGAGAGAGAGAGACAGAGAGACAGAGACAGACAGAGAAAATGTGAATGCTTTTATGAGAACAAAATTTTTTTTCTCTTTTTTGCTAATCATACATCTTTTGAAGACAGCAAAGAATTTTTAAACATATAACAGGTATAAACCATAAAGGAAGCTGTTGATAAATTTGACTTCATCAAAATAAAATTTTATAGCAAACAGGAAAAAGACATTTATTTGCAAATTCTATACTAAAGGATTTGTATTCAGTATGCAGAACATTTAAGAACTCCTACAGATCAATAAGAAAGACAAACAAGCCAGTTAAAAAATGGGTAAGGACTTGAACCAGCAATTCATATAAGAGGAAACAAGGATAGCCAATAAATATGAAAAGGTGATAAATCTCAGTGATAATTAGGAAGATGCAAATTTCTACAAGCACATTACGGCTGCCAGCATTCCTGTATATGCTTGAAACATATTTAAGCACAAATTTAAAAACAATTGTTATGTACTACAATTCACACACAAATACAAACAGGCAAAGCCTCCTTTTATAAGTTTATTTTACTTTACCTGTTTCATTAGTTCTTTACCCACATCATTTGCTGTGGACTCCTGGATAGAGCGCAGAATGAGTCTATATAATGAAACAGTATCTTGACACTGGAAACACTGATGCAGGATTTTGTCTAAATTGTCTGCTCTCCCAGCACTGTTGGAATTGAGAAGAGATTTAATTTCTTATAGACTGCCAACATGAGTGAAAAATTTTTTTTTGCACTGCAACTAATGAAAGGAATTCCATAAAACATCATACAGGAAAATGGTAGTTTTATGGGGCTGCTAGAGTCATGGAGTTTATTTTGCTGTATACCATTTAATTCAATTTAATAAACATATGCTGACACTATATGTCAAGTAATTACTATGCCTTATGGAACACAAAAATGAGTAAGACGTGGTTCTTATCATCTAGAAGCATGCCATCTATATACAGGAAGCAGGGAAGTAATGGTAAGTATTGTTAGTTAGTTAGACAAGCAAATTAAATTTGTATAGAGCCAGAATTTTGAAAACACCAAGCTAAAATAAACAAAATCAGTAAATAGAGGAGTCTGTTTTAAAATATTATGGAATATTTACCAGTAGTTTCATTTTTAAATATAAAGATTTATACTTTATAAAGACAAAAGTCCATAGTCCCTCTTAAAATACCTTCAATAAATAGTATGAAATGTATAGAAAATGACTCACAGTCTTAAACTGTACTTATTGTACTACTGATGTTCACAGAGGCCAGATACATCACCACAACTCTAACACTAGGAAAAGATGGTAGAAATATCACACGCAATTTAAAGTTTCAGAAGATTAAATTTTTTTCTTTTTTTTTTGAGACAGAGTCTAACTCTGTTGCCCAGGCTAGAGTGCCATGTCATCAGCCTAGCTCACAGCAACCTCAGACTCCTGAGCTCAAGCAATCCTCCTGCCTCAGCCTCCTGAGTAGCTGGAACTACATGCATGCGCCACCATGCCCAGCTAATTTTTTCTATTTTTGGTTGCCCAGCTAATTTTTTTTTTTTCTATTTTTAGTAGAGACAGGGTTTCACTCATGTTCAGGCTGGTCTTGAACTCCTGATCTCAAGTGATCCTCCTAGCTTGGCCTCCCAGAGTGCTAGGATTATAGGCATGAGCCACCATGTCTAGCCCAGAAGATTCAAATTTGGTGCTCAAGATGAGAATGTGGCATTAGTACTAGATTCTGTGTCTGGAAATATGAGTTGTACCAGAATCACTAATGATTATGGTGAATACCAAAAAAAGTATTCATCTTCTTTACCTGTGGTTGGGAACAAAGTAGATTAAAGTGGTACTGAAAAAATCAAAGTAGTAAAACATTTTAGTGCTTATGTAAAGCAGATTACTAATGGGTATCTAAAATAGAACTATTTTATGATGAAGACTTTATCAGGAATTGAGAACAGAGACAATTAAAAATTCCTGCCTACATACCTGCCTACCTACAAATATTCAAGGACACCTGAAATAACATTCTTACA